AAAACATTCTGAGAAACAAGGACAAAGTATTGGAGTTAAAGCACTAACTTGTTTAGAGAATTAAAAGCCATCTGTGAATAGATTTTGTCATTTCATAAAATTCACATCGTTAAATGGAGCGTGTTAAAATAATTCTCGTTTGGTTTAAAGGCATGTTATAGCCATTTGTGATGTACTGAATCAAAGAGTTACTCTGTGATGCCTGGAGTATTTGATACATGGAGTATTGTATATGCATTGTTGTTCAGTATTATTCATTGCACAGAAGATAATTAAACCTTCCTGTTAGATGCTAAAGGAATCTCAACGTGTGTCTCATCTTTTCTATGTCGCAGCGTCAAACATTGAAAAACGAAATTTACACTTTAACCTGGTGGGTAACAAAGCTAAACCGTATGCTTCGAATTTCTAATTTGCAATCCATGACTTCTTTTATGCTTGGGATACAAAAATGCTTGTAAAGTACGACTGAGGGTCTGCTGTGCTTTGGGCATGTTTTTCTTCCAAAGGACCTTGAAACCTTGTTGAAATGGATTCTAACACTCAGGTAGATTCTGTCTGAAAACTAAAAGCTAGTAGTCATATTGATTTTTAATATGTTGTCAAATCTGTGCAGAAATGCTTCAAAAAGACACAAGATTAATCTTTTCTCATGGGAATTTCAGTTCCCAGAACTAAAGAAAGCTGAGTAGAGCTGAAGAAATCATGAGAAAGGACGCAAGGTTCTGAACAATCAAGAGATTCTCCAAAGAAGAATGTCAAAGGTTCTGTTTCCTACATGCTCCAACAATGTGGAAGGTTATGAGAGGACTGAGTGCTTCTACTGTCAGAAGGGTGTCAATAATTGTATCTACAGCGATTGTTTAAATACTATTATTACTTGTATGGATTTTTTTTCCTCATTGATTTAGTTCACTCAATTTAAAAATTAGATCATTCTACAATTTTCAGTGGAAGATTTACTACTGCAATACAGCCTTTATTTTTTATTTTTTTTTACCAGGGATGATACAAATGTAGTTGGCTCTGTACACATTCACCATGTGACAAGGTGTCAGAGGAAAATACTGCTTCAAATGAAAAACACAAAACCAAAAGTTGGTTGACTCACACATAAAAGGTGGTAACAACCTTGCATATTGTATATTTGCTGCGTTTTAAGCATGTTTCACCACAGAACTGATTTGCATGTATAATCTTCCATCAAAAGATTTTGTTCCCCATACAGATCTGGGTAAATCATAAACAGTCATTTATGAGCCCCAGTCTGATACTTCTTTAAATCATTCTCATATATGCTTGAAACCTCCGCAGCTTTAAAATGCAATGAAGCAACACACCGCATTTCATCAGTGTTGCATGCTCTGCATCATTATTGTGATTGTGTCCCATTTAGTTTACTCACCGCCACTGACGTCCCAGTTGCTGCAGTGTTTCTTGTCCATTTTTATTGACAGCTAGAGACATGTTGTCCCACTGGGAGTTTCTGCAGGACAGCTTTGATTTGCTGCTCCATTGCAAGACAGGTTACGTTCAGAAAGGTAAGATATTGTTCTTCTTACAACATCTTCTAAAATATGGATTGCTTCATCATTTGTTTCTAAAGATGAAACTACTCCAGAAGCTTCATGTTTACCTGCTTCATCCAGTTCAAAACAAGTTTTGATGTGTATTGCGTGATCCTGTTGGAACACCCAGTTGTGTCAAAATTTCAAACATCGATAATTAAACCCAAATTCATACTCCAGAATTTATCAATAAAGTCATAATTTCTTTCTCAAGATATATCTGATTCAACAGTCACAGTCTTCTGTAAATTCATATCTTGACTCTGCTGATGTTTTCATGGGCAGGTTGCTGACATGGTAGGTTAATGCTGGTATGTTTATGCTTTCTTTTAATATAGCTTGTTGATAATTTGGATCATGGCACATTTCAGTACTCTTTCAGTTAGCAATATGCAGACAGCTTGCAGCAAAGAATGTTCTACTTAATCAATTAGAGTTTTGCTTTGAGACACAAAATACAGTGACTGATCTTTCAGCTGGACACTATATAGTTATCCTTCGCCAAAAAAAACTGAGCAAACCATGTGTAACAGATCTCTCCTTTATAACTGTGAATATTATTGTAGAGCCAGATGCTGCAAGGCTTTCTTTGTTTGTTGGAAACAGTTTGTGTATATCAACACAATAGTGGGCATGGCTTTAATTCAGTCTTCTAAGGTGTTCATGTGAAAATAGATTGATTTATTTTTAATTGGTGTGCAAATTGTGACCACATAGCTTACTGTAGTTACAGTTTACATGAAGTCTAAGACAGTAGTAAGGGAACAAAGTGGAGTTGAGCTTCAAGGACTTTTATTCCAGTTCTTTAAAAATGTCTTAATTAGGATTCTAATTGGATACAGATCAGATTCTTATTTATAGTTCAATATGTTACTGCTGTGTTTAAGTGCATTAAATACAGCCCTGTAAGATTAGCATATTGTGTCACGAGTGCTACCCTACTCACTAAGCAAAAGAATGAGCAAATCCTGCGGTTCTTTGGATTTGCAACCAAAACATACTGAAGTTGGATGTACTGCCAATTAGACTTCCAATTTCTGAAGTAAATGGAGAACAGCACTAGCTACTGTGTGTTATAAGACTGTTGGGACTTCTGTGTCAGAGGGCAAACATGACATAGATGTTGTAAAACATGACATGATCAGCAAGAGTCAGACATAATTTGGAAAAGCATGAAAGTCCATTTATTGTCACTCACACTTTAATATAACATCAGCTTCATGAACTGTTAAATGCAGTGTGACAAAAAGAAAACGCCATGTCTCAGATTTTAAGTTGTAAAAGGACATCTATTAGCATTAAGTGTGGATTAATTAATGTATAAACATATTTTATTTTAATGATTTCAAATATATAAATCTGTGTCCTTCATGATGTAAATTTGTCTTAGGACAGGATTACTCCTATCTCACAGAGAGCTCACATAAGGTTAAAATAGCCGTGCCACGTCCCCCTCTGGTCCTTGGTATGTTATCTGTTTGTTGAAAGTCACAGCCTAACCCAGATAACCTGTATGAAATGGAGATAAGCAGGGAGTATTATCACTTTCTCTTGTTACCCTGTCCCTGGATTGAAGGGTACTTCAAAAGGCAGCTGGTCTGCCTGTAGCTCTGGAGGAAAAAGAGAGGATGACACAAGCCCAGCTTGTCTTTGAATAGCAGGTGTACCTTTTCCTTTTATTCTGGGCCTGAATGAGAAATGATGGTCAAAGCACAGAATCAAAGTCTGTTTTTTTCCTACTTGCAGCAGCAGCAGAGCAGAGGCTAACCGGAGAAACAAATTTTCATTTGAAATCAGTCAATACTTGTGGTGTATATGCACACATAGAAGTGTGTCTGTGAAGGCGTATGTGAGTAAGAGTTGGCGCTGATACGAGGAAACCAATAACAAATGCCTAATTTGAAATAAAAAATATTTCAGACTTTTCTTTAAGCATTCCCCCTTGTCCTCTTGCTGCCAGGAGAGATTAATAACCATGGCAGCAAATCTGAAATTCATATTGCCTTCTGTTGAAAAGGCATTGACCATGATTGGTCTATGAAAGGCCGCGAGTTCAAGGGTTGCAGGGATACTGGGGATAGTGGAGTGAGAGGGGATGTGTGGAAAGCTGGGGCATGTGAGAGGAGGGGAATGGGATGATGGGAAAACAAGATTGAGGGAAGCAGGGAAGTGATGGGGAAAGGAGTAAAGTGAAGAGGATGAGGAAGGGAAGGACAGCGTGGGGAAGAATGTTGGTGAAGAGAAGTGGATGTGCTAGAAGTTGAGGCTACATTGGGGTCCACAGAGAGAGCTGTGTGTTGTAAAATGATATGGTGAAGATTGGAGAGAGCAGGGGAAGGTGGAAGTGGATTGGGGTTCGGAACGCCCAGAGCCACAGGGTGTGTAAAGCTCTCCTGTGTGAGTGGGAGACTGACATGGAATGAGTGCTGAACTTGTCTTTGCAACAAATCTGGATGAATCAACTGAGGCTCCATCAGGCTGTGCAGGGGGACAGGTTTGTATTGTTCTTGTGAAATAAAACAACTCTCTGTCCGTGTGACATGTGTGTAGCTTGTCTGTGTGTGAATATCTGGACTTTCCTGTATCTTTTCCAGGACTTTCTGCATGTGCTCTCTTGCTTGCTCCTGGAGGACACGATATTTGTCCATCTCCTCTGCTGAAAAGCTGATTGGTGTAGTGGTCTCTACACCTGTCTGTTTGTCATCTGTCCTAATCTCCTGCAGACAGAGATTTTGGATACTGCTGGGATTTGACTCAGCAGTTTTCAGAGGACATATTGAACTGACACCCTCTGTTTCAAGGGCCTCGTGGATCTTAGCTTCCTCCTCTCTCTTCTTTTCCAGACTCCTCTCCAGCAGATCCTTTTTTTCCTTTGCCTTTCTTTGGATTGCAGGAAGTTTTCCAATGAGAGGTAAATTCAATGTCTTGAACCCTGCCTGTGGCAGAGTTTTACTAGGATGTAACTCTGGAGAAGCTGTGTCTGAGATGCTAGTTGCATCGGATGCAGAGGGTAAGTGGTCTAGCTGCGAACTTGTCTCCTTTAGCAGTAAGGGATTTCTGTCACAATTGAGGTTTGGCCCTTTTAGACGTGATATCTGGGGGAATGACTGGGAAACTGACAACATGGAGGGAGTGAATGTGGGGTTGCTGTGCTTCCTTGTCTCCAGGGAGGTATCTGCAAACATTGACAATGATTTGCATGAGCTGACAGACAACCTATCTACAGTGATTCCTGAGCAGGTACTGCTTTTGCTCCACTCACAGCTTAGCTCTGACAAGCTGGTACTGCTACAGGGGCTGCAGGAACGTGGGCTATGGCATCTACTGCCCTGTGCACCTATTGCAATCTGGCAGCTGGATGGATGTTGGCTTGCCCACCACTCAGGGCTTGAGAGGTGCCTTGAACTTGACCGCCTGGAGCCTGCACACCTCCATGTGCTACATGGGCTGTCTCTGTTGTCACAAATTGACTTGGTGCATGAAATGGACCTGCTTGTTTCCCTGTCTTCCCAGCTATCACTGTTGCCAAAAGTCCACCTGTCGGTGCTGCTCCTGTCCCAGTCTACATCCTCTGGCTTCTCATGTCTCTTGCTCCAGCAGCTAGGACTTGGGTTAAGCCTTCTCTCATTATCCCACTCAGCTGATTTATTTTTTGGGCTCCATCCAGTCCTTAACCTGCCCTCCTGACTGCCTCCAGCAGAAGCACCTCTTGTCCACTCCCTCTGTTGGGGGTCTGAAGTCAGACCTCTGTCTCTGCAGCCTGAGCGCCTCCCTGATTTCCTGCTCTCACCATGAATGAATTCTCTGTCCCTGTGGAAGAGTTTTCTCTTTTTCATCGGGCCGCTACCACAGCTGTTGTCAGGGTAACAGAAGTCAATGAAACTCCTGGGGTTGCCATGGTGACCCCTTTCCCAAAACGGTGTTGAGTTGCATCCCGGCGAGAAGGAACGAAAGGAGAAGTGGGACCGCCAGGGAAAAGCGGCTGTATCTCCTGCTCGCTCTCTCTCCCCTACTGTGTCTGTGAGCCTGTTGAAGACGCTGTATGGTTCTCTCTGCTCAGTGTCCAGCTCTGACTTGAATTTACCACAGCGGCTCCTATGAGACCTCCTCTTTCTGACAGAGACAGATACTGGCTCTGCCACACATCTCCCCAGGAGACAGTCGCTGCCTGCACCAGCCACCCTCCTCACCCTTTTCTTTCTTTGCTTCCTTTTCTTTGCCCATGTCTCTTCAGTGTCTACTGCTCTGCAAACTGCAGAGACAACACTCCTTACTTTGCACTTTGCTAATTGGTGGTTGTTTGATGACCTTTCTTTGTTATCCTTCTTCTTTTTCTTTACCAGTTTGTGTTTCTTTGTGTTGGTCTTCCTCTTTCTGGGTGACACTTTTGGGACACCCACATGCGACTCTGGTGCTCTGGCAGACTTGTGTATTGTCTCACTCCCACATTCACACCTGGACGGGCTGATGCACATCCCTTGTGTGCCAGGGTGGGTGACAGACTCTAATTTACAGCTCAGGGTTGTGATGGCTCTCTTCCTGATCCCTCCTGCACCCTCTAATCTGCCTCCCGGAGGATTCTGTGAGTTTGTGTCAGAGCTGTCACTCTGAGTAGGGTCAAATGGATGGGGGGCTACCCCCTCGCAATTTTCCTCACTTAGCATGCACCTTCCTTTGTCTGATTCTGTTTCAGGTGATGGAAGGTTTTTGTTTTCAAGGAGCAGATGTGCTTCTGTCTCTACATTGATATGTTGCTCATTTTTTCCCTGTCTATGTGTTCTAATCTCATGTCTTTCTTGTCCTTGCAAACAGGAATGTGCATCTGCTGTATGAACAGATGGCACAAATGGATTTAATTCACCTGAAAGAACACACAACAGTTTTTGTTGCGACTCTTGCAGATCTTCACTGAGTCTTTCTGCAGGTCGAAGATTTGTGCAGAGCGGCTTGCAGCTGTAGGAGATTTGTGGTTGAGTCTTGGTAAATTTAAGCAAACTGACAGGCCATCTCAGTCGGGTTGAACTGTCTTTGCCTTGCACGTATAGAAAATCACCTCCCTTCCTCTTTCTCAGTGTCTCTTGGTGTCTTTCTGCAACTCTGTCTTTCTGTTTGGTGTCCACGTGAGACACTGCCAGTGCAGTGCCACATACGGTCATTGAGGTCTGCGACTGTGAGTCTAATAAGTCCTGGCTGTGATTATCACTGGCTGCAGCAGAAATAGGAAAACATTCCATCTGTTCCTCTTTTCTGGCAAGCTCTCCGGGGATTGGCTGCGTGTCCCTTAGCAAGACACTGTCAGAGCTGGACTTGTCCTTTTCACTTTCAACTGCTTCCCCTAGTTCCCTGCCGATATCTTCCATTATAGCCTTTACTCTTTCCTTCATCTGATTTCTTTTCTCTCTTTCCTCCTCCTCCTGGTCGGAAAAGACGGAGGCAGAAGGCTCTAGTCTGGGCCCTCTCCGAGAGAAACAGAAGGACACTCCGAGCCTGCTTCCCACCTGCCCTGGTGTAGGGGAAGGCAGTTGGGGGCAAAAGCTGTGGCAAGATTGTGGATGCAATGCTGGAGAGTCTGTGTGAGATGGTGAATGGATCAGTGGAGACTCTCGTAGAGCTGTGGCTAAAGATATTTGTGAAAGAGATTGGCAAGAATCATCAGACTGATGGCTGAAAGTCCTGGAGTCTGTAGTAGTGATTTGCTGGAGTTGGTCACAGGCTTTAGATTTGTCCTCTGAGCTGCAACTTCTTTGGTCCACATCTTTTTCTTCCATCTCACTAACAGATTTAACTGCACGCCTTAACCCATAAGTCCTTCTTGGAACTCTGCAACAAGATAAAAAAAGAAAAATATTTTATTTACAGCTTCATTTTTATCAACATATATTGCTTAACAGTTGCTTAAAATCTAATCTAAGAGCCTCTTGAATGAAATTAAATACTACTTGATGTTCACGGTTCCTATTCCTGATTTCCTGATGCGCATTAAGTTAGAGGGACAGTATTATGCATTTTCCAGGCACATAGTGAACAAGCATAGGAATGCATATATTAGATGTTGTGAGCTTTTTTGTGAGGTACAAAAAGCTCACAACATTACGCAGATCCTCTTTTCAATTGTGATGTACGGTTGTGTTAAAAAGAAAAGATTTAATGCATTTAAAAAGGGAGAATTCCCAGCATGCAAATCCACGAGGAACACTGCAGTTTGTTCCAAAGGAAAAAATAGCAGTCTCTGCAGTTTTTCTCACATTCTCAAGCCATTAATGTATAAACTAAATATTCAGCTTTGTAAATTACTAAAGTAATATTTAGTTGTTTTTAATTATTCTTTTGTACTTGTGGTGAATGGGGTCAACCTGTGAAACGTCCAATGGCACGATATCGGCAATGATTTAGGTTATTTTATGATCTTTTGGATGAGTAATTGATGCTCTCTGCTCCTGGTAAGGCTAATCAAGGTTCAACATTTTCTCCATTTACAGACAATTGTTTTCACTGTGGTGTGGTGCAGTCCCATATCTTTAGAAATGCCTTTTAAAACTTTCTCCAAACTGATAGATGATAGTCTATTTTTCATGTGGTCTCAAATGTTTTTGTTTTAGATTTGTGCAGGATGTGTTGCTTTTGGCCTACTTCATGTTGTAAGACAGGTTGTTTTAAATGATTTGGGGAGTCTACAGGTTTGGCAGTTACGGTTGATAGTTTTTTTTGTGAGTAAATCTAAACCAAAAGTGCGGTTAATTACAGGTATTTCATGTTTTAACAAATCGTCAGCCTAATGGCATAATTGCCTAAGTCCCAATTTAAAAAATAAGACTTAGGCATTTATGCTATTAGGCTAATGAAATGCAGTTTGAAGCTATGAAAAATAAAGATGCAAATAAAAAAATGTAAATATGCTCTGAACCCAGACTAAATCTACCAGCCTTCACTAAAGGACTCATCAGATGATTCATGTTATGGAGAGAAATATAAAGGAAAACATTTTACTATTATTGTGCACATTGCATAGCTATGGTATGTACTATTACTGTAGCACAGATGCTGATACTGACGCAATCTCAAGGGATTAATCTGACATGAATAACAAAAACAAAAGTGAAAAAAAAAAGTTTTTCTTTCATAGCAATGTCATCCACGTATTTCATCTGCTTCTGAATCCCCCCCCCCAATTTAATAGCAAAGAAAATAAGCACAATCAAGATGATTATTAAGCAACGTACACTTTCAAACCCGCAGGCAAGTTTCATTTATACACTTTGTTCGCCAATATCATTAATTTTAAGTTGTTCCACTACTCTTTCTCCTCTAAAAAAAAAAAAAAAAACTGCATCTCTTTCACCTACAAATCATCCACTCTCCACGTGTCAGCAAGAATGTGTCTTTATGTTATATTTACTTCACCTGTGGCCTATCTAGGCCAGCTGAGTGCTCTCAAATCTTCGCTTGCATCCATCAAGTCTAAGAATCGTTGACTGGATGTGACGCACTCTAACCCCTCTGGACTCCTGCCACTGGTCTCATTACACACAGACTGCTGCAGTTGGACACACACACACACACACACACACACACACGCACATTCCTCCCGCTCACCGCTGGCTTTCTTGCTGCAGCTGTGCGAGTTGGTGAAGACGCCTGAGAGCCTTCTCCTGTTTGCGCTGGTCCTTCCATGATTTTGAGGCCACGTTGCGAACAAACTCTCTGTGCTGCAGTTCCTTTAACCTCTGCGGGAAGCGGACAAATAAAGGGGGTGGGTGATAGGGGAGGAATGAAGATGACACAGGGAAAGGCGTGAGAGAGAAAATAGTTTTGGAGGTTCTCTGCATGCAGCTGTCTTTCAAAGCTGTCGGCGAGCTCTGTTTGCAGATGTTCTCCCCCAAAGCTCATGGGCAATTAACTTCATTCAGCTTGGGGAAAAAAAATGTTTTTTTCCTTTAACACACAGCTTGAGCCCAAAACACTACCAAATGAAGAGCGATTGGTAGTGTGAAGAGTTCACAAGAAGGAATCACTTTTCTGGGCTTTTTGAACGACTTTCGTTTGTATTTTACTCGCTTTAAACCAACCGCACAACTTTACATGAAATAATCAGCCACTTTGCAGTTTAGTTTAAGAAAATTGCTCCACTGATTACTGCTTTGGAAACGACCACAAATATTTGTTAGTTGTTCTCAAAAATGCCTATCAAAAATTTAAATAAAATGACAATTGAAGAAGTCCACAACTGTAAAATAAAAATTGATGGCAAATGCAGAATAGAAAATATTTATGAAAAGCAGAACAAAAATGACTTTTAATTAAAGCTAACTCAGATGTAAAGTAATCCAGCAGGAGCACAGCAGAACAGCAGGGCTTTGTTCCCTTAAAGTCTTGACATGTTTTGGTATTTTATTTTCTAAGAAATTAATTTCTTTTCGTTTTGATGCAGAGCCAGTTACATACAGTCCATATTAAATCAGGTATAACACAATGTAATCAAATCTACTTTATTATGAAATCACAAATGGCAACAGACCAACTGTAGTTATGCTAAGATTAAATAACAAATAATACATAACATACTTCTAAAGTTAACTGGGTGCCCTAAATTGTATCAAAGTGAAAGTCTTAAATACTTGAAGCTTAATTAGATTTTTATTTGTAAAAACAACAACAAAAAAATAACAACAATAAAAGCATGTATCCTTTTTCTGCTTTTTGATTAGGACTACTTTGTGATGGTCTTTAAAATTGAATTCCAACAAAATACATTGAAGTTTCTGGCTATAACATGACAAATTATATAAAGAAAAAAGTTCCTTCCTTTCATTTTTCCCCTGAGGAGAGAACAGTATTCTCATTATATGATTAGCTTACCTAAAAATAAGAAAGTAAATGGTTTACCTTCACACGAGGACAGCCTACATCAGGCAGTGAAACTCTAAAAGGTCACTATGCTCCATAATGCATTTTAAAGCTATATCGGAGAATCAAAACTGTTTTTGGAGGGGAAGACATAATTTGTTCAGTGCTCTTAGAGGAGGGAAAAAAAAGACATGCTTGCTTAAAATGTTATGCCGTCAGGTTTTCAGGGTTTTTACGGATTCTGAAGGGCTTAAAATAGACGCCTTCATTATTCCTGCACATTGAATAAAAGTGCTAAAGGGGAACAAGTGACTTACAATGTTTTGCCAAAAGGGCTTTGACAAACATCTGTATGTGGGAGTGAGATGAGGCATCATCTCTGCTTGTTTGATAATGTCAAACACAGATACAACAAATGCAAGAGGCGTTTGGGGGTGAGGACATTGGAGAGGGTGGGGGGGCCAAAATTAAGTGTTTTTTTTTCTAATGTGGTAGGTCAATTAACTTGGTCATATCTATGTGGGTGATACTGTGTGTTACAAGATTGTGTGTTTATGCGAGGCTGTAGCAATGGCTGCACTGGTTCTTCCAGGGAAACAATGATTCATGCCCCTCACTCCGGTTTCCTTTTCTGACATGCTTTAATCCTTCTTTTATCCATGCTTGGCAGGTGTGTGTGTGTGCACAGACTTTTTGTCTCCGTGTACGTTTGAAGGGTAGGGATGCGACTCAGGAGTTTGGGAATAGATGCAACCTTCTGCACTGCTTTTTTCTCTTGCTTTCCAATATATTTTATTTTTTCTTCCCTGTGAACTCAGGGTTTGTTTACCTCATATATTTGTGAATTGAATGTTGAGGTGTAATTTCCAACAAGATTACGCCAGATGTACTTTTAGGTCGTGTTACACTTATTATCTGCCCATACAATACGTGTCGCACACATGCACTCATCAGATTAGCTCCTCACTCATCAGATTTATTTATATACTCACTAATTTTTTTGCAAGCTGGATCTAATGCAGGAGCTGACAGTTGTCAGGTTAATCTCAGCTGAGTCTTACACAAGCTGGTGTCTTTTTACATTATCGAGTGATGCTTAACCTCCCACTCTGCGCTCACTGAGGATAGCTCTATGCGTGTGCCACTAGGACTGCGGGTTTTAGATCTCTGATACATTTGGATGCCTGAGCGGTGCGGATGCTCATCATTTGTGTGGCTGTGAGCGGTTATGATGCCAAGCTTATTCTGTGGGTATTATTAATCATGCTAAATTAAAGAGGCGTATATGATGAACGACTGTGGTAAAAAAAAAACAAAAAAAAAAAAAAGCAAGAAAATAGAAAGAAAAGATCGGCGTTTCTGCACTAATACTATTTGTAGCAATCGGTAATAGAGCAGTCTATGAGAGAACAAATATATGAGGATGAATACCTAATGCTCTTCTCTTATAAAAACAAAGCAGGTGAACTAGTACTTTGCAAGCACAGAGTCCTTTAGTAATCAGTAGAATCCAATGAAGTCTATTGAGAACTAAAATAGACAAAGAAGAGAAAGAAAGTAAGGTGGTTAAAGAAAAAACTAAAAACCTACACCTGATGGACAATTTTAAAACCAACATCTGGTGTTTTCTTTAAAAAAAAAAGCATATAGATATTAAAAGCAACATTATTACAATTAGTCACAACTTATTTGCAATGCAACATCTGAGGATAAAGCCTACATTTCTATTTTTTCTTTTTCTTTTGGTTAATCTGTTTTTTGCAATGCTCTTCTGGAATTTTCCTCAACTTAAAAAAAAATGCACAAGATTTACAGGAAGTGGTAAGGACAAATGAGTACTTCTTTTGTTAAAGTCTGCATAATCATACACTTAATTACACAACCTTTTGTTCCTTAAAGCAGCGACTGATGGGGAACCCTTAGGAGTTTTTGTGAAGGTGGACCTCCTACATCTCCAACATCTTTAGTATCTCATTATTTATTTATTTATTTTTTTTATCACTCCTCAACTGTTAAAGTGGAAAAAAAATGTTAGTTTTGTAGTTGCTGTAACTCTAAAGGTTAACCTCGAGACTCTTTGCTCTCCAATAAAAATGTCTCATTACTTCTTTTAGCCATCTGGCTGAGGTATGTCACCTTTCTGACTTCTGAAATAATTTAATATGCACAGTGATAGAACTCAAAAGATTTGGCAAAAATTACACAATGGAACCATTTACATACATTACTGGTTTTTGTCTCTTAAAGAATTTGTTTGCATCATCAAACATCAAATTTGACATTCATTTCAAATACTTCTCCTGGTCCAGAATTTTAGATATGTACTAATGTTTTATGTTTATGTTAATTTGTATTTGTTTTGTGGTGTCAACACGTTTAAGAAATGCTCAACTATGGATGAGTGAAAGTTGGTTCCAATCCACTTGGAGAACATAAGGGGTGGTTTTGGAAGGCATTAGAGGAGACATGCTAATAGGCTGATAGCTTTTTTCCCCGCCAAAAATAAATGCGATGTATAAAAGATCAATGCATATAATCAGCAGTAGAGACCAATAAGGCCCTGCATTCAGACATATTTACCCTGGAATCGATGACTAGAAAAAGGAGACAAAGCAAACGCAATCAGCTTCCATTCACCAAAGCCAATACTCCTGCAGGGAAACTGTCTTCAGCTAGAATTTCATCTGTTGTCTGCTCTGCAGGCAGAGTGTACATGCATCCTCTTATTTCTGCTTGTGTGTGTGTGGAGGTGTGCGTGTCCGTGTGTGTGTTCACACAGCACCCCTAGCTGCTGTCAGCTCAGTGCCGCATGCAGCTCGTTTCATGTGCCTGCCGTCGGCTAAAACAAAGCATTAACATTGGCCTACAGTTGCCTCAATTCATTTCCAAAGAACAATGACAAAGGAGGAACGGCCCCTACTCAATGTTTATTTCATGATGCACAGTGTGGGCGTTCAGAAGTGGGAAGCGCTTTGGCTTGGTTGAGAGATCGCCTTGTGTTTGCGGACAAGTGTACAAGGGTAAGTGCATGTCTGAGCGCTTTAGCGTGCAAGTATGTGTCTTGGCATGACAACAGATAGCTTTAGGAGAATGGGCTATCAGCAGAACCTTCAGCTTGTTAGTCCAAACTGGAGGTGAAGTGGATGCAGAAGGAGGAGAGAGCCTTTGTCTAATGGCCCTCTGGCTTCAACTTGTCCAAATCAGAATAACAAAGCTATGCTTTAACCACGATTAACAACAACATGGTATATTTAACAATGATTATTTGTTTTTTTTTCAAGAAAGCATAAAGTGAGGGAAGAATAAATAAAAAGCATTCTCGTGTACTAGATGCATAGCAATTAGTTGTTTTAAAATTTGGGCTTGAAGGGCAGAAGGGAATATTCTTGTGTAATAGACTTGTGGCTTAAGAACTTTACATATAATTATATTTTTGTATTCCAGTTGTTCTGATAACTGTTTATTTGTCCATTGCTTGAACTATTTTTCATTCAACTTTAACAGTTTCCTCTTTGGTGCTCTTTTTTTTGTTCCAGCTCAAGCTCATCAGTAGAGAAGACTAAAGTTTTCTCTTTGTGTTCTGCAGAAAATAGGACAAACCAGCAGAGTGATTATGAAAGATGGTGAAGAGCTGGATCTCGGTTAAAGGGCCAGCTCATAAAATAAGACTGGGATTTATGCAAAAATTGTGCTAAAGTTGGAGTTGCCCTTCTTTGTAAGCAGCTATAGAACGGACGCCCTGTAAACAATTAAGAGACGCAAGGATGGATGGAAACTAAAGATTGTAGTGTGATGTGCTTTAGACCTAAAGGGGATTAATGTTTATATGAAGCAATAGCTTAATGGCTTTTTTTCCTGTTAAAGGGTTGAAAATTTGAGTTATCAAAAATATTTCAATAAAGTACAGTTATAAAGTATTTCTGATATGGCAAGATTAAGTCTTGTATGTTTTTGATGCATCTCAACAACTTTATACTTAATTGTTTTAGAGTTCTTTCATCGGAGCAAATCTTTTACATGATTAATACAAAACGAAGCAATCGGTGTATCAAAATATAAATCCAAAGAATACATTCTTTAACACTTTGTATAGCAGATGAGAGAGAAAGAAGCGCTACAGTTATCACACTCTTTCTGCTGGGAAACAACCAATTTGGCAGACTGTCATAGTAATAATAGCACAGCTTTCCATCAGCATGTAAAAGTACTATAGTAACATCCAAATTCTACTCTAGGAAATCAAAAAAAGATGCCCGTTTATTTGTCTATATGTTGCCAGATCGAGTGCAAGTGTTGTCAGGTGCATCTTTCTGTACCTGCTTGTGCGCATGGTCGTAGGAGTTGATGTGGTTGTCAAACTCCTGATGACGGAGGTACTGCTTGTCACACAGTTCGCAGTAGAAAAGCGATTTCAGATCCTCGACGGAGCAACCCAAAGCCCTCTCCGTGCACTCCTGCAGGGAGAAAGATAGAAACGTTCAAAATGAGAGCGTAAGGGGTTAGAGGGACATAGAGAGCGAGAAGTGGAGCGAATGGCAGACTGTTATCCATTTACAGCGAATCTGCATCCCAGAGACATCAGCAATAATAGTCTCTACATGAGCTCTGCATAAAACTGTTAAACGACATCCTATTAAAGAGAGTTGCCTTTACTGGCACTGCTGGAGGCTGAGCAAAGACGCCGAATCCCCATGCTTATGGCAGCTTGAGCCTGGGGGTAGACATTTAACACAGCCACAATAATATTAAACCTCCGTATGTACCGTGATGGCAAATACGGAGAGTCCGACTGTGGAGGAAATGGCATTGGATAGACAGGAAGCATAGCCATCTGAATGGTACAATTTAGACTTCTGTACAGCGGGAAAATCTTGGATATGAAGGAAAAAAAGTTTCAATGCACACAAACGGGTAGGCAGAATAGCACAAGGACAGAGACATACACACAGTCACACATGTGCTGTATAAATGGCATATGGACCCGAGGGGATAAATTGCCTGTCTGCATGCTTGCCTCAGCCAGCAGGTCTTCTTGGACCCAGAACCTTGCACGGTGCTGTCTGTGTACAATAGGTGTGTGCACTTGTTTGTGTACTGCTGTGTCTGAGTGTGTATGCATGTGTTGAGGTGTGTGTGTGTGCATTCATGCCATGCTCTGCTTCAGAATGTAATTTCCCTGAGGCTAGGGGCTGCCAATAAACACTATTGAATTCTGCTCTACACTGACATGATGGAAATTTAATTTGAGGTTGTCACTTCTTTCTCTCATTCTGCCCTTTTTTCCTTCCCTCTGTCCATTCTCTTCCTCCTCACATTCCCCAGTCTTTCTTTTTCTTTTTACGCTCCTCCTTTCAGTCAATTAATTTTTTTCTTTACTTCACCTCTCCCTTTTATTTGCTCTGTTTCCATGTTTCCTACTTCCTGGTGCTCTTCTTTTCTGTTTGTGAAGGCCTGGGTCATTCAGTGAGAGATTCTTTTGGCACCAATTGACTTCAGTAAACACCAGTTCAGACTCCAGAAATTGGGCACAGTTATGTACCAAAAAATATTTTGTACATGTGAAGCAATCCTTGTTACCTTGTAGAATAAAATGCCTGAGGAAGATGGGTTTGTGTATTTGAGTGTTCAAACAGCTTGTGTTTATGATGCAGACTTGTGTGAATCTCTGTCTTAAACTGATTAGATGCCTCAAGAGGATGAATCAAAACAGCTTATGTTGCATTTGTAGATGGGGCTGATCCAATTGGATATCAGTCTTGGACTCGATACTGAGGTCATTTTTAGATTGGATATCGGACTGAGGCCACCGATCTACCTGCGAATCCAGACTCCATTGTTTTATGCGACTGTTCAGGTTTCAACTGAGAATACTCTGGAAGTTTAGGCCATTAGTCAAAAAATAGTTGCACTTAAAATGTATATAATCTGATGTTTCAAAGACATAAATGGAAACGTATATATTAGTTATGGCAGCCTGCAGTGAGTTGACAATTTGCAGCTGCAGAATGTGTCTTGCAGACAAAACACAGGACAGATGTTCGTTATGTATTTTGTGCAAATAGAGTAGCGAAAGTTAGAAGACAGAAAGTGGCTTTATTTAGTATTTTTTTTTATTTTACTTTCATCTGCCACAAATGATAACAGATTTCGAAATATCAATACTACGGAAAACCTTTACCCAAGGTGGGGACATTTAAAATGTTCAAATTACATTTAGATTGCTGCAAGACATTGCGACCTTAATGGTTCTAACTATCCAATCTGGCGGGGAAGTGGATGCAGTTCAGAAAGACGGTGCTCTGCAGCTCTGCCTGGCTCACGGCTCAATCTAAGGGTTAGATTATCCTGAGCTATCTCTGCAGCTCTGCTGCTATAAGTTTAGGCTGCTGGCAGACCAACTTATCACTTTTCTTCACTCTGCTACTTCCTTCTACTCTTCAATTTGTATTATTTGCTGTTAATTCATATGTTGAACTTTGTTTTCTCAGTTTTTTTTTCGTCTCTAATGTAAGCTACACTGGTTTGGCATTCTGTTTTGGCTGTGGTCCTTTCCTGTTGGAGTATATCGGCTGAAATAAGGCTGCCAGTAACTAAACATTCTCTCTCCTATATAAACTTTTTACCTTTCATTAACTTAGAATTAACTTCTCCGTCTGTCAGTCTGTTGCTTTTTTGAATATTCTGCTCTGTATTCCTAAACCCTCAGTCAGTCATGGCAGATGGCTGCTTGTACAGAGCCAGTAACTCCTTCTGGAGGTTTCTTGCTTTTAACAGGGAGGTTTTCCTCTCCACTGTCGCTACATACATGCATGGTAGGAGGGTTTGCTACAGAGTTAGTGACATAATGCAAGCGATTTGCTGCTGTCTACTGCTGGGTTTCCTTAGACAGAAAACTTTTTAAGGTAATTTGAATAATGAACTGAACTTAAACACCGTTTGATAAGTAGAATTAATTGGAATGTACATGATTGAGCAGAATTACTTTTTTAATAAAGTACCTTGAGATGATGTGTTATGAATTGTTGCTGTATAAATAAACTGAATGAAGTTGAACAGAATTTTCTAAAACCTTAAATTCTCGGGTATTACATTTTGCAAAGCTACAAAGCTTAAGTACAAAATCCTTCTTTTTCTTTTGCCACAAACAAGAACGCCTACACACATTTTATCCATTTCTTTTTAACCGAACACACACACATCATGGTAAAGACAGCTTGATCCTTGGCAGGATCAAGTTGTCGGTTAGTTTCTTATACACATAATAGGTGAAAAGAAGGGGTGGACTGACAGGACTCTTTAAGACTGAAATCAACCCTGGTGGAACTGACACATATCGATCCTTTATCTCTTGAAGTGTGCATGTGTGTGCCACGATATTGATCTGACCTGAAGTCACTTCCAGGAAATGATCCAATCACAGAGAGCAGCCTTCACAGGAGACAGACGGCAGTGATGAGGTAGAAACAATGCATGTGTTTGTGCAGATGCATATGTGTGCTTCCTAGAAGTACGTGAATGTGATGTATTTTTGGTCTGGCCTTTCCTCGGGATATACTTTAACACTGTCCTCTCACTTTCCTGCATTCTGTCAGGATAATTACTTTTAACAATGAAATATAGAGAGGAGTGTACACACGCGTGGAAGAAAAAAAAAAAAAAAGAAAAGGTGCGAAGGCATCAAAACAGAAATGTGTGTATATGTGTGTGCACTCAAGAATAATTTGTTTGTGTCAGAGGCACCCCGGAAAACCATTTTTCTGGTGTACACTGGAATCAAACATGAGAACTTTAATTGGCTCTGAAGACGCAAATGTCTTGTGATTTCTAACCCTTACCCCGCACGCTGACGCGCTTAAACCCATTTATAGAACTACATCAGCAGTAGGAGCTTCCTAACACACACTGAAGCTTGTCCAATAATACACAGTCTGTCAACCTGAAATGCCAGAGCCAAATTAATCTTGACCTCAATTTTCCTCACTAGTGTAAATCTATTCTCATCTAAGCTACGTTGATATATTTGCAGGCTTGAGTGGACATCGAATGTGTCATGTTTTCTGATTATTTTTGCAGGCTTCTGAATGTTAATCTGCTTCAATATTACTTGTTTTTTTTTTTTTTCTTATCTGGAGTCTGTCAAGGAAATGACACTTTAATTTCTGAAAGTGACATGACTAAGAGTCATCACTGACCCTAAACAAAGTATCTGAAAAGATGCATGTCATTTAACATTTTCAGGTAATGTGTAAAAGAACGGCTCCTGCTTGCTTTACTGAGATAATCAGTCAGTCATTGCAAGCGTTGGCAGGAAACTAATGACACACAATATATTATTCAAAAGCTCACAGAGACAAAAATACGCTGATGTATTTCTGGGAATTTTCATAGCTGCACTATTAGCACTATTTAATTTAATTTAAACTAAATTAAGTACAATTTTATTTTAATTTTCAGGATTGATAATCTTTCAGTAATATGGGATGTGGTGGTGGATTCAGGATATAACTATTTAGCAGAAACTAACTAAAATATTTTTTCGTAAAAATGAGAAGTTAATTGTGCTGTTAGAGAGGTTAGGAAGATAATTCAGCAGCAGTAAAAAGTACAAAAACATCATAGTTGGTCATTAGCAAAGGTTTTGACAGTATTTAAAACATGCTAAGGACAAATTTCCACTTATTGTGCCTGATTTTGTTCAACTTAGTATTAGCACCTCGGTTACAGTTGCTTATTTGACGCCTATGTTGTCAGGGGATGTTGCTTTAACATTTGTGATTATTATCTACAATAATTATAAGTTACATCATTAAAGTTCACTGCATATATTCAAGATGTGCTGTCTTTGCATTCTTATTTTATAAAACAAATATCAGGCAAACGAGTCTAACTCCAGTCTGTAAGAGTCTGCATGCTTATTTTAAATGCTAATGCACCTGAATCAAATGAGTGGCTAATTATGTGGTCCCTGCAGATTTTGGTGACATACAGAGAAGGTAATTCAGCCCTTAACTCAGCTGTGTGGGAGAGGAGACTTATCTGAAACATGTAGGACACAGGCTTTTTATATGGCTACTTCACTGTTTGTGTGCATTGATAAATGTTTACATCCTTTTATAAGTGACATTACAGAGATCGTGTATTACAGAAACCACTGGGTCACTTGCCTCTCTACATACATGTGAACTTTATTTGACCTGCCATTTTTATTACAAAGGCTTTAATATGATGTCGGCCGAGAGACACATCTATTGGATTCCCAGATAGATTGCTGCTCTAGAGGCCAGTGGCAGTGTGCTTTACACCTCTGTCTGTCACTTTGCATTGCACTTGGAGATGTATGGCTTGGATGCAGTTGCTCGGCAATAGTAACGCACTCCATCAAGCTCTCTACACACTGTTCCTGAGATAATTTCTTTCCTGAGATACTGTAATTTCAAGGCCGCATGAAGTTGCT